AGTCGGACGCTTAACCGACTGTGCCACCCAGGCGCCCTGCAGCTAATTCTTAAAGTGGACATTCATCCTGTTCTAGTGTTTGGAAAGGAATTTGTTGTAGCTGCAAATCTCTTTAAGCAAACCCAATATTGAAAAAAATCCAGGCTGGTAATAATTTTCTCTTTACAAAAATATTCATAACAGGACTCTTATAAGTAGTAAAAATTTCTTCTTAATTAAAATAATATTTGGGGCACCTGGGTGGCTCAGCCATCCGAGTTCGACTCAGGTCATGATCTCATGGCTCGTGAGTTTAAGCCCCGCATCAGGCTCTGTGCTGACAGCTCAGAGCCTTGAGCCTGCTTCGGATTCTATGTCTCCCTTTCTCTCTGCTCCTCCCTTGCTCACGCTCTGTCTCCCTCTCCTACAAAAATAAATAAACATTAAAAAAAATAAGATTTGATTAAAAAAATTTTTTTAACGTTTATTTATTATTGAGAGAAAGACACAGAGCATGAGCAGGGGAGGGGCAGAGAGAGGGGGAGACACAGAATCTGAAGCAGGCTCCAGGCTCTGAGCTGTCAGCACAGAGCCCAACGTGGGGCTTGAACTCACAAACTGCGAGATCATGACCTGAGCTGAAGTCGGTTGCTCAACCAACTGAGCCACCCAGGCGCCCCAAGATTTGTTTTTTTTTTTTTTATAAGTAACCTCTATGCCCAACATAGGGCTTGAACTCATGATCCCGAGGTCAGGAGTCACATGCTTCACCCACTGAGCCAGCCAGGCACCCCAAGATTTGATTTTTAAAAGTTAACTAATTTGAAATGTAAAAAAATGAGTTGATTTATGAAACTCTGACTTATGTCCCCAGGAAAGTGAGGTGTTGTCTATAAGCCTGTTTTAGGTAAAAAGGGTTAGGAGAGAGCAGAGTTCTAGTTTGGGGGACAGTGCACGGAGGAGTTGAGAGATGGAGTTCAGAGATCATGATCCCTCAAGGAGTCAGTCTCCAGGTTTAGCCATGAAGCGCCAGGTCTCCGAACCCGTTTCTTTTGCAGTAAGTGACCTTGCTGGCCCCTTGCAGGACCAATCCAATTCTGAGCAGGACAACAGGAATCATTCTGGGTAAATCAGAGTCTATTCCACATGTTTATGTGTTTGCTCACTCAACAATGGATGGGGCAAGAGAGATATTCAGGGAACTGAAAAAAGCTGAGAGCGTGGAGCAGGGAACAGGAGGCTGAGGAAAATCACGCACTTGGTCGTAGCTCCAGTGCGCTTGCTCGCTAACATGCACAGCTTTCCTCCCCTCACCCACCTGCTCCCTTTCAAAGAGAAAAGAAGTGAATTTAGAAGAATCAGGTTTTATTTAGTGATGTGAACATTAAGAATTTGTCTACATGGCTGAAATATTCACAAAAGATTTTACCATCCACACTCATACACACAGAGGAAGTCTGCTGAATAAAAAATGCTCATCCAAACTGCTGTCAGGGACAGCAAACTGCTTGCCTATTCCACTGTCGGGGGCTTCAGTCTTCATGAATGTTGAACAGTTTGGCTACTTCATTGAGATCTTCGTGTTGCTCACCGTCCTTAATGATCTGAGGGAGAGAGTAACAATGGGTCACTAACTCACTTCATGTGCATTCAGGTGGGCCTGCACAATGGGGGCAGCCCAGGCCAGCCCCCACATCACACTGGGAGAGGGCTGTGGGAACAGCTTTCTGTTAACCCCAAATGAGCGGGTAACAGCTCCCAGGCCACCCAGCCAAGTCCTGAGTGAAAAAGAAACACTCCTGAGGCAAGGCTACACCTTTGTTCTGCTCAGGCTCAGTCTGACCCAGGTGGACAATGCACAGCAAGGCACCTTGATGAAGTCCCAAGTGCGTTTTCTGGTCCACACTGCCCATCTTCCTCTAGGAGCTCTGACAGGTACCTACCTTCCTTGCTATTGGCATTCGGTTGAAGATGTTCCACAGCACGATCCCCACCACTACTTTGTCCCTGAGGTAGAAGATGACACCTTTGCCGTAGTCCTCCCCTTCAGCTGGGGCCTGGGGGACTGTGGGACTGCCGGCAGGAACAGCGATTTCTGAGGCCTCAGACTCTGTCTCACTCTCCGATCGGATACCAGTCCCTGTGGCCAACCCACACGACAGACAAAATCAAAATAAAACAAAGTCAGTTATGAACTTAGGAAATTCTAGAAGGCAAGCATCTTTTGATACCTGCTTCATTCAAGCTGCTTCTAGATGATTTGTTTTTCTATGCCCCCTTAGTGAACACTGACTTCTCCAGATCCTCTCCATTGACAAAGCTAACAACAGGTCTTCCTTGCCAGCTCCAGGGCACTGGGTCAGTCTAACCCCAAACTTCCCTCCCTTACTATCTCATTTTAAATTTATGCTATGGATATTTCCTGGTATCTAGATTTCTTCACACTGCAGAAGACTTGCCCTTGTCCTCTGAGAAACATTCTAGAGCTGCACGGTCCAGTATTGTAGCCACTAGCCACAAACAGCTATTCTAATTAAAATTAATTAGATAAAATTAATTAAATAAATAAAAGTTAATTAAAGCTTAATTTATTTTAACCAAAATTAATTTTATTTTTTTGATGTTTATTTACTTTTGAGAGAGAGCAAGCGAGCGGGGGGGGTGGGGGGGGGAGGGGAGAGACACAGAATCTGAAGCAGGCTCCAGGCTCTGAGCTGTCAGCACAGAGCCCAACGTGGGGCTCAAACTCACGAACCGGGAGATCATGACCTGAGCCAAAGTCACACACTGAACCAACTGAGCCACCCAGGTGCCCCTAACCAAAATGAAATAAAATGTGAAATTGAGTTCCTCATTTGCACTAGTCAAATTTCAAGTGCTAAATAGCCACATGCGGCTAGTGCCTAATGTACTGGACACAGCAGAAATAGAACACTGCCATTATAGCAGAAAGGTCTATTGGGCAGTACTGCTAGAGGCACTCTGGCCAAAGCAGGAAAGGACACTTTAATATGGAAAAACCACAGTGGAGGTGTTTCCTTCTGGGAAGGAGGTGTGTTGTCCTCTGAGAACAACCAGTTTCCAAATAATACTGCCCAGTGCACAGAGTGGTGATCTGAAGTTTATAAGTCCCTGAGTCCCTCTCCTGGATCCACTTCCCTGGAGGGCTGAATGAAGGAGCGGGTGGATATTATCACTTGGATTGTACAGAAAAAGGACCTACGTGTCCCTATGATGTCTTGCTCTCTCCTTAAAGAGCAACCTGTTTTTGAAATGCCTCTAACAAGAGGACACAAAGGTTAAATAACTTAAGCCAGGGTCATGGAAGGCAGAGAGAATAGGTCTAAGAGTTAATGAGAGTTGTGTGTGGGAGAGAAGTTCATTCCACGAAAGATGCCTCCCATCTAAAGAAAACCTGGCAGTAAGACCTGACGGATGGAATTACAGGCAGCTCAAGAATTACTCAGCCCAGTTCTTCACCACCCAGGGTCCGTGGAGGATAGTAGGTCCTAAACTACGGTTCTCAGGCCTAAATTAAGGTTCTTTGGATTAGTAGGAAGCTAATAATAATAATAATAACAATAATAATAATAATAATAATAATAATAATATCTTTAAAAAGTTCAGGTTTTCTTCATCACACAGGGGTTCCTATCCCCTAGAGGCAAACTAAACAAGAGTTGCTGAGCCAGCCACTGTCCAGAGTCCAGGACAGACACCCACAACATCTGAGTCTACGCTTTGACCAGGAGACCTGATTTTGCCAGCTCTCAGACCACAAAAGTGTGAGAACTTCGGGTATGGTTTATTTTAAAGCACAACATGAAGAAAGGCTTTCACTGACAGTTCCCTCTGGTCAATACAGAAACTCCTTATTCAGGAGAATTTGGACCACTGCTGCTCAACACTCTTGCAAGAGAAGTAGTTGGGCTTCCTTACCTGACTGCTCTGTGGCAGATTTTGGGTTGTCTTGTGCAGTTGCTTTTGCAAACACACCAACTGTGGGCAAACTACTGTCCACAAGACCAATAGCTTCGTAGCCAACATCGGGGCCCAAATCACTCCTAAGGAAAGAGAGACAAGAGGGTATTTTGTCAAGGGGCTGCAAAGAATGACACAACGGCGTATTTTTTCTAAGACACCGCACTTTGGTTCATGCCAACCAGAGAACTTGGTAGGTGCAACAAGAGAAACGCCAAACTGATCTGTCCACTTGCTAGAGCATCTGGGGTTATCCCAAAGCAGTTTTTATTTCCCTTAGGAAGCCATTATACGTATCACATATCCATACAATGATCTACACTTTGCTAAATTTATCTATGCTTTTATCCCTTACCATACTTGACGAGTGATGGGTTCTTTGAGTTTACTATTCACTACCTTCCTTTAACTCATCCTAAAACTGCCTTTTTGAAGCTTTAAGGAGTACTCCGTATTTCTAGAATTCAGAATCTGAGATATTTTACAGCTTCATCAACTCACAGTATTTCCTCTGAGCCTTCATTTTATCAAGGCTGCAATGCCTCCCTCCACTTGGGTCATTTTAATTGTTCCTCTTGGAAACTTTTCCTATCATTATCATACCCTGCTCTTAGTATGTCAGGAACTTCAGAGAGTGTTTGAGGCACAGACACACCATGGTTTTGTAAATCATGGAGGCTACTCATGGTTTTGTTTCTGGTGCTCTACAGTTTGCCATCATTTAATTAATTAATGTTTGAGTATAGCTGACACCCATGTTATGTTAGTTTCAGGTGTACAACTTAGTGATTATGCCACGCTCACCACAAGCAGAGCTATACCTGTCCCCACACAACACTATTAGAATATCATTGACTATATTCCCTTTGTTCTGCTTTTTATTCCCATGTTGTCATCTTCCTGACCATAGAAGCTCAATGAACTGGTGTCTTCGGGGATTGGTCCACAATGACCTCCTGGATTCTGTTCCTGAGACCTAACTGATACTTGTATAGCTATGGACTATTTTTTTTCTTAACCGCATTATCTTACATGTGTTGACCCTGAAATCCATCTGTTATGTTTTCACTGCCCACTCACAAAACTGTGTGTGATTGTCCTAAAATGTACTCTCACCAGCTGAGAATTTCCCCAACAGAAATTGTTTAGAGGTTCTGGAAACCTTGAAGTTTTTTATGTATTCCATCTTTCACAAAGGAACAAGATGAGACTGTGCCAATTAAGGCCAGTCCCAGTACTCAGGAATGTCCACTGCTAACTTTTTGCTATCCAGAGAACTGCCTACCTATGTCTGACTTTGAATTGCTGATCTTAAGGGTTACATATGAGTGGGCTGCCTTTTTTTTTTTTTTTTTTTT